TTTGTATTTTGTTTGTCCTGTAGACTGACCTGACTGTGGTAAAACTGGCCACTATAGAGAGCAATAAGAACCTGGACCTGGAGAAGAAAGAGGGCAGGATAGACGATCTTCTGCGGGTGAGATTTAATTAATAAGAATGATTCCAAAACAAATTTGCTGTAAATGGTTTTGATGTGAAATCACTCGTGTCTTGCAAATTTTAGTTGCATCAGACTTGGTGTAACCCTAACTTTTTTTAAAATATTTTTATAATATGTTTTTAATTTTTTCTTCCTCTTCTGCGCAGGCAAACTGTGATCTTAGGAGACAAATTGATGAGCAGCAAAAGCTTCTAGAAAAGTACAAAGAACGTTTAAACATGTGCATCACGATGAGCAAAAAACTTCTGATTGAGAAGGTGAAGCATCCTTGGGATATTTCAGAAATCTGAGTTTTAGCTGTTGGTTGTAAAAAAAAAAAAAAAAAACAGTGCTTATGTGTAAAGGTCATCATTTAACCATAAGCTTTAATAGTTTCAACACCGTAAAATGAATAAGAAGCGGTTCAGATCTTTATAAAGGTGTGTGTATTTGTCCAGAGCACACAGGAGAAGCAGGCGTGTCGGGAGAAGAGCATGCAGGATCGACTGCGTTTGATATTTTTTTATTATTTTATTTATTTTTTTTTTTTTTTGCATGTATGTATTAGCGGCTCATACTATTTTATAGTACTTGCTATTCAATTCTATATATTATTATTTTTAAGGAATTATGTAGTTGTTTAATTGTGTACACTTAATTTTTGTGCTAACCAACTCCTAACCCTAAACATACCTAAACAAATATAATATTTGACCTACTTTTTTTCAATATATTCTATATAAATTCTGGTTTTAAATTCAGCTTTCTTGGAAAGAAAGACTTGTGAATGTGCGATACTTCAGTTCATTAGCCGCAGTGCAGCTTCACTTCTAATGTGTGACCCACTTTAATAATAGTACTTTAATAAATGTAAAATAATTTGAAGAATTGGCTAGATGGCGCTGTCTAAAAAATAGGGTCCTTGAACTGCAGTCCGGTATTGCAGGAACATTGGGTTGTTTTTTGTTCAGACCAATGTGAAAACCGACCCATGTTTTTACCCTGCAAACACGCAGAGCTGTAAACAATTTGATAATTGTTAAAATAATATAATAATTAATACTTTTGACTCATCCGTTTTCTTTAAAAAATGGTTTAAAGGCTGAAATGTGAAGTATATAATTTTATAAAACTTTTTTGTTTTTGTGAAAACTTGTATGAACTGTAAATCATGCTTTTTACAATCATTTTGCAGTTTAATAGTTTACCATAGACATTGCCCTACCCCGCTCATATGGAATAAATTTTATTTGTGCAGGTCTTAAAAAGCTTAAATTTGAGCTTAAAAATCCTGCAGCAACCCTGATTACAAGTTACAGATTTGTCTTTCATTGACTGTTTTTCTGCAGACAGCAGGAATGGATCATTCAACAACGTGAAGAAATCGAGAGACAGAGGAAACTGTTAGCTAAGAGAAAACCCCCATCAGCCAGCAGCTCTCAGTCGCCCAGCACCAACTCTGAGCCCAAACCACGCAAGACCAAGGCTGTGAACGGCTCCGAGAACGACCCTTTCCTCAAACCCAGCCTTCCTCAGCTGTGAGTGCTGCTAAAAGCTGCAGTAGAGATATTAGAATTCAGCATCACTAACATTCACAAATAACTGATTTAATTTGCCAGAAAATCCTAGAGAAGAACTTTAAGCTGGAAGTCAAAATTTTAGACTCACTTGAATGTTTCTGATGAATTGCAGGACATGATTTATTAGGAAGCCAGATGATCATTTTAGATGATGTTTCTTTCCACTCTATGGAAAAATAACTTTTTATCTGCTACGACACAAGTCTCTAAGGAGCCAGTGTGGAGAAATAGCATCAGCTCCTTCAGAATTGTGATTGTTTTTCACTCTTCCTAACCCACTACATGCATGGAGGTTTTTTAATCTCGTTCCTCTGATGTTCCTGCAGGCTAACTTTAGCTGAGTACCATGAGCAGGAGGAGATCTTCAAACTGAGACTCGGCCATCTCAAAAAGGTCAGTGGCCTGTACGATTTAGATCTCCATGCATTTCAGAACATGTAAAAACAATAAAAAAAAAAATTTTCTGCAGAAGAATTCCAAAGAACAGCATATACTTTTGTAACATTATGAATGTGTTTACTGTTACTTTTGATCAATTTAATGTGTCTTTGCTTAATAAAAGTATTAATTTCTTTCAAAAAAAAAAAAGCGGCATCCTTACCAATTGCTTTCTATCCACTTTCTAATTTCCCTATGGCAGAAGTGGCAGAATACACCACAATATGATTTTATAAATGTTTTCTTCATGCGTTTGTGCATTTGTAGGAGGAGGCAGAGATTCAGGCAGAGCTGGAGAGGTTGGAGAGGGTGCGAAATCTTCACATCCGAGAGTTGAAAAGAATAAACAATGAAGACAGTTCACAGTATGTACCCACGCTACGATGACTTCAGCCTCTGATCTTTTTCTTTTTCATTTTATTTTGTGTCGTTTGTACTGGACATTGACTACTCATATTAACGGCGCTCCCATGAGTGTACTGACTGTAAAGGGTCCATGTTCTACACATTTGTGACCCTGGAGCACAAAAGCAGTCTTAAGTAGCACAGGTATATTTGTAGCAACAGCCAACAATACACTGTATGGGTCAAAATTATCCATTTTTCTTTTATGCCAAAAATCATTAGGATATTAAGTAAAGATCATGTTCCATGAAGATATTTTGTAAATGTCCTACCGTAAATATATCAAAACATAATTTTTGATTAGTAATATGCATTGCTAAGTACTTCATTTGGACAACTTTAAAGGCGATTTTCTCAATATTTTGATTTTTTTTGCACCCTCAGATTCCAGATTTTTCAAATATTGTCCGATCCTAACAAACCATACATAATGGAAAGCTTATGTATTCAGCTTTCAGATGATGTATAAATCTCAATTTCAAAAAATTGACCCTTATGACTGGTTTTGTGGTCCAGGGTCACATTTATATGTTGTCTATATATATATATATATATATATGTTGCGAAAAAAATACATTTTTGCTTGTTTTACCAAAACATGATTTAGTTTTACATGATTATTTTCCACCCACCCTCCCTTTTTCTCCTATTTCTCTTTTTTCTCGTTTTTTGTATTGTTTTAATCTTTCTCAGATTCAAGGACCATCCCACCCTGAATGAGCGCTACCTGCTGCTACATCTGCTGGGCAGGGGTGGCTTCAGTGAAGTCTACAAGGTGTCTTTACCCCTCATTTATAACAGAGCCTGATATATGCTGACCTTTGAGGAAGAAATGCATCATTTGATTCTTCATTCTGCTCTTCAGGCGTTTGACTTAACTGAGCAACGCTACGCTGCTGTGAAGATTCATCAGCTCAACAAAAACTGGAGAGAGGAGAAGAAAGAAAATTACCACAAGTATGTTCCTCCTTTTTGCTATTCAAGGAAATATTACATCTGTAGGGCCCTATGATTTCCACGATACGGAAAACGAGGACTGAATCCAGGCATAAAAATGGAATTTACTGTATAACGTGGAATGCCATAGAATTTGCCAAATTTTAGATGAATAAATCAAAAGTAAGTCAGTACATTTAAAGCAAAACACAATATGGAGTAGTGTCTGTGAATATTAAACCAACCGCAAAAAGACTATTTAAATACTAATCCTGCATGTTCTGCGTGTCTCTGTGTGAAGGAATGGCGCAAACAGAAACTTAAAGGTCTTCTCAGCAACCCGCCAAAATAAAAGTTTGGTTTAACTTGAAGAAACTGCCAGAAATATATTACTTGGCCTAATATAATGACCATACTACTACTACTAATAAAATTATTATTAAAACGTTATTTTTTTAAGGAATATTTACCATAATTATTTACCGGAAAAATGTAAATACACAACCAGGTATTTCTGAAAAAAAAAAAAAAAGAATAAAATAAAATATTTTTTTTTTTATTAAATCAATTATTTAAAGATGTTTTTGATTATTAAAAAAATTAATAAAACCATTAAAAGAGAATGCAGAAAATTCATGGAAAACAGAATTTGGTATAAATAAAACTGAAGTTGAGAAAAAGATCAAACGTTATTTCAAAGGGTCATTTTTTTAATAAACTGCTGTTAAATTGTGTACATTTCATGATTTTAATTTTACATTTAATTTAACCATTAAAACATAGTCTAGAAAAAAAAAACAGGATCCAGAAAAATAAATTAGAAGGAAAAAAAAACGGAATTTGGAAAAAAATCAAATGGAATTTAGAGAAAAATTTAAAGTGGATTTCATAGGGCCCTACATCTGTGGCATGCTGCCCATCACCACAAGTGATGAATTCGATTTTAGATTGCATAAACAGGGGAAAAAAATGTGAATTATCCACTCTAACTTCATAGACAGGGTAGACATCATGCAAAATTTGACGGAAAGAGAAAAAAAGACGTACAATCCGTTCAGTATGTTGTTGTGAACCTTGAAGATGATGATGATCATTCAGCCAAAAAACACGTAAATGTATTTTTCCAAAAATTTCTAAGTAGACAAAACTAGCCAGAAAAACATCTGTTGTGAAACGACATTAACAATGCAATTCATTTAACGGATGGTACGTAGCCTCGTTTGGATTCAAATATGCCGATTACCCTGACAGCTTTCCACAGATGCTGCTGAAGGAGCTGTCTTTAACCCTGAACATTTCTTTTAAGATTAAATAAGCTCTTTTTATATTCAGAGCCATTTCTCTCTTTTTTTTATGTGCAACTTATATGTAGCTGGCTTATATTGTGGTGTGGGGACATTGTTATGTAAGGCTGTATTTCCACGGTGATTGGTATTCGGTACAGAACTGGAAATGTCTGGAAATCTGGTCCGTCTGTGTCTCATGACGCTGGCCGCCTGGGTCTCACCTCTGTTGCCCATGGTAACCTGTGCCTCTCTTCTGCAGACACGCCTGTCGGGAATACCGAATACATAAACAGTTGGATCATCCCAGAATAGTGAAACTGTACGATTACTTTTCACTGGACACAGACACGTGAGTTAGTTCCAGCCCTGCAGATTTCAGCTAGCAACCATCAGAACGCATCAGTGACACGAGTTTCTGTTTCCTGCAGGTTCTGTACGGTTTTGGAATACTGTGAAGGAAACGATCTGGATTTCTACTTGAAACAGCACAAGCTGATGTCTGAGAAAGAAGCTCGCTCTATCGTCATGCAGATTGTTAATGCTTTACGATACCTGAACGAGATCAAGCCACCCATAATACACTATGACCTCAAACCCGGTGAACACATTCTCTGCGTTTTACTTCTCATACCTCTCGAATACGCAAAGTTCTTGTTTTTTAATTTTTTTTACACAGGTTATATACAGGTTGTTTTTTAACCTGTGTATGCATTTAGATATATACCACGTATATACCGCTCTGAACCGTTTAGAAGTTTGGGGTTTGTACAATTTATACGTGGGTCAAAGACGTTAAGATGTCCGCATCAAAAGAAATTTACAAAAGTGATTTTATGTCCACAGAAAGCACATTAAATGTGAGTAAAGTGTCTACTTTTAAGGTTTCAAATAAGTTTTTGGACAATAAAATGTCAGAATTTGGTTGAAATAATGTTAAATTGTCATTCAGTGTAGCACAATATTTATGTAAAAATTCAAACAACATGCTTATTCTGACTTGTTCATATTATAATATATAAAAGAATAAGGGAGCATATTAAATTTGATTGTGTTTTAAATGAGTAAAAAATTCTTACTGACAAATGGGCAAAACCTAGGATAGTGGCACATTTTAAAAATGTAAAATAACAACTAATTAGTATTTGGGGTGAAAGTAATTAGTCTTTTAATATGTCATAAATAGATTTTTGTTGTAAATGTGTAACAATCTTGTCAGGCATAATGACATTTTAGTGGGTCTCTTCTGTAAATCAGGGAAAAATATATGATATTTGCACTGCTTTATAGCTTTATATTTTTGTAGAAACTGTAATGATACTTTTTCAGGATTAATTGATAAGTAGAACGTTTAAAAGAACAGCTTTTATTCAAAACAGATCTTTCAGAATTTTTTTCGGTCAGTGTAAATATCTTCACTGTCACTTTTGATCGGTTTAATACAGCCTTGCTGAATAAAAGTATCAATTTCTTAAAAAAAAAATTTTTTTTTAAATATATATATATATATATTACTGACCTCAGACTTTTGAATGGTAGGATATGTATTATTTTTCCACCCAGCCTTATTATGCATATGTGAAAGATATAAGAAAGATAATCCAGTATAGGGAATGTGCTTGTGTATTTATTTGTGTGTGTGTGTGTGCAGGGAATATTTTACTGGTAGATGGAAATGCATGCGGAGAGATAAAGATCACAGATTTCGGACTGTCTAAAATCATGGACGATGACAGCTATGGAGTAGATGGGATGGACCTGACATCACAAGGGGCAGGCACTTACTGGTAACACACTCACAGATGCTCGAATAATTAGGCTTTTGCCTTTTAAAGCGTGTAACTCAATCGTGTCTTGTTTCGGCTGTAAGGTACTTACCCCCGGAGTGTTTTGTGGTGGGTAAAGAGCCTCCAAAGATCTCCAATAAAGTGGACGTCTGGTCTGTCGGGGTCATATTTTTCCAGTGCCTCTATGGAAGAAAGGTGAGGAGCAGTTATCTGAATAAATGAGAATATTATCAGTAGCGTCTACAGGTTGAAGTGCAAAAGGAAAGTAGCTGTCATTTTCCTGATTTCTAGTACACTGCAGTTATGTTTAACCATGCAAATTTGATTTGTTTTTCTAGCCATTTGGCCATAACCAGTCCCAGCAGGACATCCTGCAGGAGAACACCATCTTGAAAGCCACAGAGGTTCAGTTCCCTTCCAAACCCGTTGCCAGCAATGAGGCCAAGGTCATTTCACATTTTCTTTGAAAAATAGTCCGTATAAAATGTTGGAATTGTAATTATGGAATAGAGTTATAAAACATTATGGGTGGTTGACATGACACTGTTGCAGTTCCTGCTTCATCTGAAACAGTAGCTCTTCAATGACTAAAAAGTTGTTGCGGGGGTAAATTGAAATAATTTCTTTAGCTCATTTTAATGCTTAGGCCCTCTTGGAAATTTGCTGACCCCCTGGTTGAGAACCACTGATATAGAACTATTTTGAACAATTTTTCCAAATTCTTTATAAAATTATGCTTGAAGTTGGTGTAAGCATTATTTTAGAGACTACATGGGAATATTTGTGCTTTAATAGTTTATTGCACTGCACAAATATTTAAAATGAACTGCAAAAAAAGCTGGTTTATAGAAACTGCAGCAGGGCTCGCAAAATTTCAAAATCGCTGGATGTGTTCATTCAGATGCAAGGATACGCGAAAGAGGAATCAATTCTGTGTACGCGCGCATTGTCTGAAACGCGGCTCTCTGTGCGCGCTTTGCATGAGTCTATAAAACTTTAGTTAATATATATGTGCATGTCATACATACAGGTGCATTTACATCAAAGAATGTATTAATCGTTGAATAATTATAAATAAACTATAAACTCAATAAGTCCTAAGATAAACTGCATGATAAATACCTGTTGCAAAATGTAATGTGAAAAGAAATATAAATTGTTTATAGTAGATCTGTATTTTATATGATAAAGGGTCGGAATTGGGAACCGCTATTAAACATGTAAATGTAAGCCTGAAATATTGAAGAAATGTCCCTGTCTGTGTTACTTGTCAGTTAATAGGTTGGTAAAGGCAGTCTAGGCATATCTTTACAAAATGTGATCACAGATTATATATAATGGTAAAACTAAGACATCATTTTATTAGATATCATCAATTCGTTTTCAACTAGTGTTAGTTTTGTTAACGAAAAACTGACGAAAAATGTTAGTTGCTGAGCTTTTTTTCCCCCCCGAGACGACAATAAGGTCAGTAAACGGTAACTGACTATATCAACATGCAATTTCATTGATTATAAAAGACAAGACTAAATGTATTCAAAAAATAAAAACTTTGACGAAAACCTCTTTTTATTTTAGCCAAGGTTGACTAAAGTGCTGCTGATAAACAAGCTTGCGATTTTGGTTGCTTTACTATTGTTGAATTGCTAATAGGAATTTCACTGTTATAATATTTTTAGTGTTTTGTTTTGTTGTTTTTTAACAGTTTTCATAATGTAGACAAAGAGTGCGTAAGTGTTTGATATTAATTTATATAATAAAAAGCCTAGAATAAATAAGTACACTAGACGAGGTTAAATAAAGCATGTGTATGAGTCGGCATTCTGTTGATTTGTGCTTACTGGTGAAAGTGCAATACCTGAAATACAAAAGGAAATTCCTCAAATGACAACAATTATCATTTTGAGCAAAAATATTTTTTATCAGTTTTTAACCGTTATACAGCATGACGAAAATGTGACTAATTTCATCGACTAAACCTGACTAAAATGCTCAGACATTTCGCTGACTAAAACCTGACTACACAAAAACAGGACAAGGTTGACTAAATATGATAACTAAAACGTACATAAAGTAAGCACTGCTGTACGGTTCATTAATAATAATCTTATTGCTAAAATGTCAAGTTTTCATTGACTAAAACTAGACTAAAATACTTTAGGGTTTCTTTAACTAAAACTAGAAAATATGCTGAGACTTTTAGCCGACTAAAACAACATAGCATAAGTTTGAATAAATATGATAAATACTAACAAGGACATTTAACATGGGATTAAGACTAAAATTGAAAATAGCTGACAAAATTAAAACTATTTTCAACAAAAGTAACATTCTGCTGTTAAAAAACGATTATGTAAACTACAGAAGTGCTAGTGCATTAAATAGTTAACCAGACGAACTATTGATATACAATTTCACTCATACTGTCAAAATTTCCTAAAAATTATTTGAATTTGACAAATAAAGTTTTCTTCTCCCAATAAGGAACATAATGCGGAGAAAACAGTATTAATATGAACTGCAGCAGTGCTAATCTGCTCATTTCATCATATAATCAACTATAACTATCAATAAATGAATCAAATTCAGTAAAACTGCTGACCGTTTCTTTACTGACACGTTATTAAATCCACGCATGCAGTTTCATATAAATCATATAGAACAGTGGAATCGCTCCATTCTCCATCCGTTTTTGTCTGCACTGTTTGACAGTCTTCACTCCCATCCCATTGTTGCTCCCAAAAGACGCTCTATATTTGCATAAAGTTAAACTTTCTCAGCTTTGCTGTGTCTCTGGGACTCGCCTTCATTCGGTCACCCGCCAGCCGCCAGCACTCCATTGGAAATGAATGGCATCTTGTTGCTTTGTGACTTGGCTTAACAGATATTATTGTTACTTATTCATTTCAGTTGTATTGTGTATCAAATATTAATATTAAAACACAAGTCGCTTGAGTTGGCTCACTTGTTTAACCACGAACTTAAAGTTTTCATTGTTAAAAGAACGTCGCAAGAAATTGCTGAAAACTCTGACATACTAGTAGTCCCTTTTATAAAGATTTTGCTGTTGAGGCAAAATCTCAAATTTTGATATTTTTATCTTTACACCTAGTAAACGGCATTTTATTCTAAAGACGTGTTTTTGCATGCGAGTTTTATACACAGCAAGTATGTATTTGCCAGACATGTTGGTGAAAAAAAATCATGCCAATCAGGCACCACTGTATATATAAGTGACCCTGGACCACAAAACAGCACACTTGAATAAACTTCTTTTTTGTAAGGGTATTGCTACAAATATACCCCAGAGACTTAAGACTGGTTTTGTGCTCCAGGGTCACATATGTAGGGCTAGTTTCTGCAATTCATAGTCATTGCCACAATGGTCATAATGGAACAGGCCATTAAACAGACGATTTCAAATAATTATTTTGCATATTTTCTTAGACACACCAATTATTTAGTGCAAAACCGTTTTTGGATTTGTAATGAATGGCATGTTGCTGTTTCCTGCAGGCGTTCATCCGCAGGTGTCTAGCCTACAGGAAGGAGGACCGGTTTGATGTGCATCAGCTGGGAAGTGACTCCTACCTGCTGCCTCACATCAGACGGGCCAGTTCTTCAGGAGCCCTGGCACCAAACTCCAGCTCCTACTGACAGCTTGCACTGAACAGCCCGGCTGGCCAGAGTCTGAGCTCCTTCCCTGGAGCAGGGCGCGACCATTTCCAGGCAGCCGGAAGGAAAAGAAGCTCGAGGAAGTTTGTTGAATTATTGTGCTTGTGCAGCAATGAGATTTGGGTTTACTGAGAAAAGCATTTGGAAAGAGAATGAAGAAAAATAAAGCATAAACACCCAGAGAATGTCGCGATAAAGTCATTGGAGAAAAATAATGCCTTCTGGAGCCTCGATAGGGCACTGCTACTGTTAAGTACTTTGAAATGCGACTGTTGTCATTGGGTTTTTCACACGGTTGCCTCCACGTTCAAAGAGGAGCCAGACCTGGCAAACCACTATCAGTTCCCACGGTCTCTGCTGGGTTTCCCTCAATTAAGGATTCAGAGTTCTGATGTAATGTCTGTAGTAATGTCATGTGGTGCAGACGACAGTGTTAGCTTTCCTTGCTTTGTTCAACTAGCTACGAGAATGTAATTCTAGCATACAGAGCGGCTGCTGGCAGACTAGGCCCAGGCAGCATACTAATGTTAAATGCACAAAAGAACCAAATGTAGACGAATGGCAATGTACAGAATCCTATGCAGGACAAAATAAAAGTATCCCCTCTGGAGAATTCATGTATATTTGTTGTACAGGACCTTAATTTCAGATATTAACTTTCAGCAGATTCATTCTGTACAGAGGTTTAACATTTTGCCCTTTTTTATTTCTTGTAAATTTGGTTTCCTGGTGTGCTCTTTTTGATTTTTGCTGTTTTGATGTTGCTCTTTTTCAAACCGCTGTATAATGTACTTTGGGTATAAATTGTACAGTCCTGTTAAAAGAATAATTGCAAATAAATGCCAGGAAGCTCCATTTAGTGTGATGAATAGGAGTTGCTGTTCTGTCAAGCAGTCTGTAGCGCCACCTACTGGCCTTACAAAGTAATGCTCTCTGCATGTATAAAGCAGAGTTTATCAAATGCACACAGTATGCAGTAAAATGTAAAACATTTCTGTGAAATATAGATTCATAAATTGCTGTGGGGTAAGATGAGCCACCTAGTAAACAGCATCAATTTTAATGTATCATATCAATATAAATGTAGGGGGAAGGTATTTTTGTACTAAAGACATTTTGCATGCAAGTTTCATATATGGCAAGTATGTTTATTATGTCAATATTTGCCAGACATGTTGGTGACATGACAGCATAAATAATAATAATAATATATGTATTGTAGGGCTAGATATTTGCATAATTCTTTGTAAAATTCATCAAATTGGCTGTTTAGTGGCATGTTCCATTATGACAAAGCAAAAAAAAAAAATGCAATTGTCAGTCTAAAAAATAAATCGGACTTGCACAACTTACGGCTAAAAATTGAAATAAAGATGGGCTGGTTTATGGTTAAAAATACATATGAATATAGTCAAAAACATTACATACAATAAAAAATCATTACATGCTTCAAGGTCTAGAAACAAAAAGATTACTATTCCACAAACTATTCTATAACCTTGAAACATCAATAGAAAAGGCATGGTCACCTTTTAAGTTATAAGGTGTGGAAATTGAAAAGTTAACTGCAGAGATCACACTTACAACAGCCTCAGTGTCTTCTGGTGATCCCCACCAGGCTTCCACATGTGCATTCTGTGTGTGCATGTTTGTAGATGGATGTGTGTTTTCAGCACATGAACCTGATTTCTTTATTAGTCCAGTCTCCTCCTTCCTCAGACACACAAACACATTTCTAAGCTTTTTCAATCTCACACACACACATGCAGAACTGAATGATTATCTATTATCATTTTTGACTCTTACACACTAACGTTACTCAAGGTCTGCACTCTAAAAATCTCTTTTAGCAGGAGATAAAAACAAATGACAAACGTTTCGGCTTGCTGTCAATGTGACAAGATCTCAGTAACTCAATTACTGAGACCAATAAAGACTAACAGGTGGTAGTAATTAGATTTCTAAGTTCACAGACTCCAGATCAGATCCATCTATAACAGCAGAAAATGAAGATTTTAATCTTTCATGGTTTTTGGGACATTACCCCATGTCCCCACTTTTCAAAACGCTTATAAATCACACAGAATGGAGTGTATTGAAAATCTGAAATAGCACAAAGTTTCCTGTGAGGGGTAGGTTTAGGGGTAGGGTTGGTGTAGGGCAATAGCACATACAGTTTATACAGTATAAAAACCATTACGCCTATGGGATGTCCCCACTTTTCACAAAAACAAACCTGTGTGTGTGTGTGTGTGTGTGTGAATGGCATGTTTTGCCTGATGTGGTATTGTTCCCACTGAAATTTGTTGAATTTTCTGCTGTTATAGATGGAATTACTGATCTGGAGTCTGTGAACTCAGAAATCGAATTACTACCACCTGTTAGTCTTTATTGGTCTTAATATAATCATTGAGTTACTGAGCTTTTGCCACACTGACGAAGGCAGCAAGCCGAAACGTTTGTCATTTGTTTTTATCTCCTGCTAAAATACAGAGATTTTTAGAGTGCAGACCTTGAGTAACGTTTGATATGAGACAGGTCTTTGCACCTACAAAAGCTGGGAGAGCGCGGTGAGTGTGATGATTGGACACTAGCAATGATTAATACCGCTATTTTAACAGCACTCAAATTCATAGAGATGGGCAGATGAAGCCTTGTGAATTAGTAAAATTCCCCGAGTTCCAGTTTTGGTAACACTTTATTTTGATAGTCCACTTTAGACATTCTACTAACAGCAAGTAACTTTGCAACTACATGTCAGCTAGCAGTCATTAGAGCATTAGTAGACTGTCTGCTTAATGTCTTCTAACACTTTGTTTTGATTGGTCCACAACATACAACATACTGACTATGAGAATCTTTGCAAGTATATGTCAACTTATTCTACTAACCCTAAACCTAACCTAATAGTCTACTCTGAGAGTTAGTAGACATGTAGTTGCAAATTAATGAGAATTCGGTGACATGCAGTAATATCTTCTAACACTTTATTTTGATAGGTCCACAACATACAACATACTGACTATGAGAATCTTTGCAAGTATATGTCAACTTATTCTACTAACCCTAAACCTAACCTAATAGTCTACTCTGAGAGTTAGTAGACATGTAGTTGCAAATGAATGAGAATTCGGTGACATGCAGTTGCAAAGTTACTTGTAGTTAGTAGAATGTCTAAAGTGGACTATCAAAATAAAGTGTAACCCCAGTTTTAATAAGGAGGCCAGAGTAGGAATTTCCCCACCGTCCAACTCTGGATCAGAACGTTTCCTCAGCTCCTGACAGCGCTTCTCTGAGCCCTCGACCCTGAACAGGCCACTCTCACTGAGACCTGGACACAAACACACATTTGACAAATACAGTCTCTGCATAGAAGCGACAAACACTGTCACACACACACACTACTCACCATGCTTGTCCACAAAGTCCACTATCTGCACAAGCAGAAACCCTGGTCTCACCTGTCCGCTCTTTCTCAGGATGATCACACCAAACACAGCCCTATGCGTTTCCACCTGTACAAGGGAAAAGTTTGGGAGAAAAAAATAGGGAAGGTTCAGTGGGAATTGTACTGTATGAATGAGATGAAACATTACATATACATATATTTAAAAAATGGCTAAAACCCTAAGCTGGTTGGCTGGTCTGAGATGGAAGTAGCTGGTTTTAGCTGGTCTCCCGGCCTGACCGGCTTAAGAAGTGGTCAAAACCCCTCTAAAACCAGTCTTCAAACCAGCTTTGACCCAACTGGAAGACCAGCATAGGCTGGTTTCAGCTGTTATTTTCAGCAGGGTTATAATAGTGTTTATAATGTTAAAGAACTACAATGTAGACCTAAGTGCTGTATACACTGGGTTTTCAGAAAATAATAATAAAATACAATAAACCAAGTTGGTGTAAATTATACAACCAATTTACAGGGAGTTGTTTGTTACAATACCTGACAAAGAAAACAAGACAAGTATGCCGATGACAAGTATGCTGATGAATGAATGATGAAAGTATTTGTGAATTGTAACCAATGTGCTGTGTTTGTTGCATACTTACACTGATAAGACTCCAATCGCTACCGGTTTTCTGGATTGATGTTTCTTCAGTTGCAGAGTCAAAAAGTCTCAAATCCAAACCAGAAGGGCTTCCAAAGCCGAGAGTCAAAAACAGATAAACGAAAAATCAATAGCCTAGAAATGCTTTAGGCTACCGTAAAGCATTTCAATATTAATTATGTAAAAATATTTCTGTATGTATTAATGTATTAATTGGCCTATGAAAATATTAGGCTATCAGGGTAAGATAATAAACATCTAGGCTATCAAACATTCCATACTATATATACATACATCAGTTATTTTATTTCTTTTCGCAGCCTGTGTTTTTACTGTAGCCTACGCAGGGGTGTAGCCATCATTTCAGAAGTGAGCGGGACAGAAATTTTATATATATATATATATATATATATATATATATATACAGGGTTGGGCAAAACACATTTTTATCATTTTCTGAGTCATGAAAAAGTCTGCTTTTGTGATATATTTCCTTCTTTCTTTACTGCAAGACGTTTGCTCGGTCTAGATGCGCTTAAATCTGCACTAACGATGCGTTCCTGTCACGTACCACACATGCCCACTTCAATAAACCGACAGAAAGCGGCTTATTGCGTTTACATGCTGTGCGAAATCGGAGTAAGAGGCAAAAAACTACCTGTTGCGACCAGTTTATGCTCACGCCGTTTATGACCTTACTCCGATAAAAGATAACACTCCGATAAAAGAAAACGGGTTACGCGTTTACATGACCAAGTGCGTTGTGCGAAATCGGAGTAAGAGGCAAAAAACTACCTGTTGCGACCGGTTTATGCTTACACCCGTTTATGACCTTACTCCGATAAAAGAAAACGGGTTACCGCGTTTACATGACCAAGTGCATTTTCGGCTTATTAAGCATAATCGGCTGAAGAACGTTCATGTAAATGCGCTCATTGAGATCTCGCAAAGGAACGAAACTGACTGCAATTGAAATCTCTTAAAGGATTTTACGAGCATATGCTTATTCTGTGCAATATATACTTTTTTGTGTGAACTAAATTTTTTTGTCAAATTGTCCTTCAACCGTGTAACTGGCGCTTTAAGCTCGAGCTGCTGAGCAGCACAGCAAAAAATAGACTCGACGCCAGCGTCCGGTGTAAAAGCACTCATTCGTTAACATGCATACCGGGGAAAAATGCGCACTGCTTGCTCTGCTGCAGTGTGCGGTGTATCAGACGTCTTTCGTTAACATTCACGCCGATGTGCGGTGCGGTGTGAAACAGGTTTTACAATACACACACGCTGCCGTGTGCAGCTCTGCTATGCTCTTTCACAC